TTTTTTTTTTTTTTTTAAAGCAGATCAGAAAACAGAGAAATCAAGACTCCAGTGATGTCATTCTTACTCTGTGACATTTACACTGTTATTCCCCTTTAGAGCGAACTGCATGAACTCTGGCGAGGTCCTCAGTTGGGCCTCCCGGTTAGTCCCCGAGCAGGTACCTCGTAGAACTGGAGATACCCAAAGGTATCTGTGTCTGTTTCTTCAGAGATCAGTGTCTGTTTCTAAACCTTCCTAAGGTCTTAAAATTATTTTTCAAGCTTAGTCTTCATCACAAGACTCCATTTTAGTATTTCATCCGTCTCAAACTGTGGGAAGGGATTTGGCACCTGACTTGGGTTTAGTAGAACACCTGTTCCCAAATCCCAATTCACAAACTCAGGTGCAACCCATTGCCTGCCTCTCATGTTCTCAGAGTGGTGAATTATCCTATTTACATTTCAAAGACGTGGAGGCAGCTCATTCCTTCGTTTTCTCTTTTGTACCGTCCCCCTGTCTTATGCCCTCAACCCCAAATCCACCCTGTATCCTAGAGCCATTTTTGTGATTCTTCTTGGACAGAAGACATTGCTGGCCTCTCTGCAATTTCCGAGCTCAGGAGAGATTAAAAGACCAAAAGAACACATTTGAACGATGGCCTGTAATCTTACCCACCAGACAAAAATGCTAGCCGTTATCGAAATCAGCTGAGCAACACGCCGCCCCTGTCCTGCACTTGTAAAAGAAGCAAACTTCTGAAATACGTCTCCATTTTTGTTGATGCCATCTTGCTCCAGTGGGGCAAATACACCCTTGGATTTGACTTGTCTACGCCTTTTGCAAAGAGCCCAGGTAAGACAAAACCCTGGAATTCTGAGACACTCATTGATCATTCCAACCTATTGCGACTATCGTCCTAGGAAACTTGGGCTTCGTTCCTGGCTCTGCCACGAATTAACGGAATGATCTGAGGCCACTTGTCTGATTTCTCTGGGAGTGGGCTCCTCATCTATGTAATTAGACGAGATGCTCTGTAAGACCCATGTGAGAGCAAAAATACCATGATTCCATTGGATTTATTATAATTACTATTTTTGAGAGCATTCTTTATTAGGAAAGGCTTCCTCACACCCCCTGCCAGAATTCTGGCCAGGGTGTTTGAAAAGCCCGGAGCTAGAGTAGCCCAGAAGGTTCCAGATGGGTTGGGGTAGTTCCATGCCCATCTGTCCTTAGTGCTATCTTGGGAACTGCAAATTAACTTGTATTTTATGACTGTCAACCCAGGATAGGAGTCAGCATCTCAGTCTTCAGCGTCTCTGCTCTTTCTGCGACGTGTCCGGGCTCCTCTGGAGCTAAATCCACAGGGCTTGCTTGTCCTGCTGATTTTGGCAGCCCGGGCTCATGTTTCCCTCGTCCATTGTGTGGAGAAATTCTGCCCGAATTGCTTACAGGCTATTCTAGGGATACAGATGGAGTCTGGTCTTTCTTTTTCCCTGTGCTTTCTCTCTTTCTCTTTGGAGAAGGGGATAAACAGGGGAAACAGAGCAATGCTCGAAAAAGCTGTTCCTTTTAGGGTGCTCTGTGCGGAGTCTGATAGACTTGGCCACTTCCTGACTCTCCCTTGAGCTCCTTTGCAGGGGACCCTGGTCCATTAGCTACATTGTCTGTGGCGCATTTTGACAATGCCCTGTCATGTCTGTGTGCATAGTCTGGCAGGCTGCACGCTGGCGCCGGGGTTTGGAGAGTGGCCCTCTCACCCCACCCCGCCCCGCCCCCCGCAGGTCTCACACGGAACAAAAGCCATGCGCTCACCCCTCTGCTCTTGCTGGTGGAGCCTGGTCCCCAGCTAGAGGCCCAAAGACGTATGCTTCAAAAACACCTGGGGGAGCGTTTGTGTTTCTAAGGAAGCAGCTTTGGGCCGAGCGTGGCATCATTCAGGGGCAGAGTGTGGAGATCAAGGCCACTGGCTCCCAGAGCTGTGTGCTCATTCAGTGAGTCGGTCCAGAGGGGACCCCACTGCAGAGATTTGGTGTGCACAATGCCTAAACTGCCTGGGCGTTGCCAAAGAAACCAGCCAATCTGTTTTGTGTGTGTGTGTGTGTGTTGCAGGGAGGGGGTGTCTGTGAGCATAAGAAACTTCCAGAAAATGAAAGGTTTTTTTTCCTTTCTTTCTTTTTTTTCTGATTATAGAATGAGTTCATATTTATTGACCAAACTTGTAAAGCACCAAAACATTTTTTAAAAGGAGGAGAAGCGACAGGGTTTTCTTCATTTTTGATGAATTAGCCATGCGTAGTCCAGTGTTTTGAAAGTTTGTCTTGAATGCCTCCGTGAATCTGACGGCCCCCGGGGGAAGCTCTGGGGGAGGCCTGGGGACAGCGTTTGCTTTTTGAGGGTCATCAAACTCCACTTCATGAAACTTAAAGGGTTGTTAAATAAAAGCCACCTTGTAAAAGGTGGCCGTCCTTGCTGTCCTTATCGTTAGCGGAGGCTCCGGGCCTATTCACCGGGACGGCTGTCCCAGGGCCATCCCGAGGACAGCTTGGGCACCGCGTGAGCACTGGCAGAGGCGGCTCGCGTGGCTCCGGACACAGCAGCTTTCACTGCCGCCCCCACCCACGGTCGCTGCCGACGCCGAACAGAGGCTGGCTGGCTCTCTCCACAGTGCCGACCTGCTCATTCTGAGTCAGAGGTCCTGCGAGTTCTCCTCCACCACGCAGCCTGGTCCTGTGCCAGGCACGTGAGCCGACCTGTCTTTTATGAATCTGAGACCCGAGTGCGTGAAGCTACCC